GGACGTCGACTTCCCGGTGCGTCGCAAGAGGCGGCGCACCGGTCGACGATCCCCGGGAGGAGGAATCGGAAGCGGACCTGAGGTGGCGTCGGCCGAGGAGGACTCACCTGTCAATAGCGACGGGTCGGGGACTCCTCGGCCGCTTCGGGCCCGCCACCGTCCGCGCGGGGGGGACTGGGCTATCTAGATCCCCCCGCGCGGTCGGATAGGTAGGGCAAAGAGGGGGCGGTGTCCCGGTTTGGGACGGGCCCGCTCCCCCAAAGCTCTCCTCCCTTGACAAGGGGGGGGGTAAAGGAGGAGGGGTGGGTGTCCCCTTCCTCCTAATAGATGTGACCAGAAGGCCAACCAGTGGGGCAACCTACCGAGACCGCGCCCTGGACTCCCTTAGTGGGACAGGGCGCGGTACGTTGATGGCGAGGGGCTCCCGGAGAGCCCTGGGGCCGGAGGGTTGGGGAGGGAATACGGGAATAGTTCCTCTGACTCCCCTCCTCACGGCCCGACAGGTAGACATCCCGCAGGAGTTTTAGTCGGTAAGAATCCGAAATAACCCCCTCCCCCCCAAAGGGGAGGGGGTATCCATGATGGATTTCCCCTGCGTCATCAAAAAAAAAAAAAAGGTAAGTATTATAATGTTTATATCAAGTACATCGTGTATTATTATACACATAATTATCAGTTGACAATACTATACAGTTTAACTCAGTTAATACTATACAGTTTAATTTCAGCTTATTGTACACTGTGACGCGAAGACATGCAAAATCTTTGTTGTAATCTAACAATAAGCTTCCTACAAACAATATTTGTGTATTGTTAATGTGACAATAATGCATCTCCTACCCATTCTCATGTACGCTATATAATTCTGATATATAAGTTCAGCAGGTCGAAAACTTAAAGAAAAAGTATGTTTCCTACGCTTACCGGGGAAAATAGTAATTTCGTTTTTAGACCTATTATTCTTTAACAGTTTTCTATCTCTCTCTGCCGAACAAAACGTTTCCGAGACAAAAGCCTTTATGGAGTTTCATACCTCGACATAACCTATCGATAGAACCCAAATACATTGAAATCGGTGAGGGGTCACTTCTTACGGTTCCTTTGACGGTGAGACATACATACGGGCCCAAAAAACCGGTATTCATATACAGAGAACTGTTTCCCGACGCGCAAGAAAACGACATGCCGACCGACATATTAGATGTACAAATGATTAATCCAATTTTTCAGCTACATTCAAGGTTTATTTTAAAAGAAAGTAAATTAAATTATTCAATCAAAGTATTCGCCGTTGCTTTCTATAACTTTAAGCCATCTTTCAGGCAGCTGATCAATTCTATCTCGGAAAAATGTTACGTCTTTGGACGCGATAAAGTCGTCAAGCCATTTTCGAATCTCATCCACTGATTGGAAGTGCATATCGGACAAGGCGTGATGCATCGACTGGAACAAGTGATAATCGGATGGAGCAATGTCTGGTGAATACGTCGGGTGCTGCAAGACGTCCCAGCCAAGACTCATTATGGTGTCTTTTGTATTGGAAGCAATATGTGGCCTGGCGTTGTCATGCAACAATTTCACTGGACGTTCTCCTTTGCCAGTATAAAGGCGTTTTCGTTCCAATTCTTGACTCAAGCAGATTAATTGACGTTGGTAGCAGTCCATAGTAACTGTTTCAACTGGTTCCAACAACTCATAATAAAGCGTGCCCTTGATATCCCACCAAATGCAGAGAAGAACCTTCTTTCCGAAGCGATTGGGTTTTGCGACCGATTTTGATGATCCGCCGGGATTTATCCATGACTTTCTGCATGACTTTCGGATTGTCATGGAGTATCCATTTCTCATCGCCCGTAACGATTTTCCACAAGAAAGACTTTCGACGCTGCTTATTGAGAAAAGAAAGACACGCTGCCACTCGTTGATTTGTGTTGGTTTCAGTGAGTTTATGCGGAACCCATTTTCCTTCTTTCTGGATCTTTCCCATCTCATGTAGGCGTTTGGAAATCGTTTGCTGCGTTACTCCCAATTGTTCTGCAAGCTCTTTTTGTGTTTGTGCCAAATTCTCAGCGAGCAGTTGTTCCAAATCAACATTATCGCACTTCGAAGGGCCTCCGGGGCATTATTTGTCGATTAAACTGAAATTACCGCTTTTAAACCGCTTAATCCAAAATGCTCACACATTGTACGATACAATACTTTCGCCGAGAAAGGAATAAATCGATTCGCACGCTCTTGCAGCATTTTTTCCTTATTGGAATTCATAAAGAATGCAGTGTCGGATATGCACCTTATCTGTGCCATTTTCGACTGTACTGAACTGAATACTTTTGAAGGTTATATTGGGCCTTTCGCCAAACTATATATTCTTTTTAATAGCTATATGTCAACATTGCATAATAACAAAAGAGCGGGAAAATCTATTCAATTTACAATTGATTTCATAACTGCTTAAAATAATTTGGATTCTTCATTTGTACACCTAATATTTATCTGCAAAGGGCGCGTGCTGCTCTCGAAACTCCCGTACGCAACGCCATTGAAAGCGTGCAGCGATATAGTCTACGGGCTATTATCATATAAAATCCGCAAAGAAATACTACGCGAACGGTTTACGTCGTTCGTAGAACTACTTGATCTTGCGAGACAAGTCGAAGAAACGACAGCGAAAGAACCGGGCAAACCGTTTACATAGCCGAAATCGATGCAAGAGTACGAAAACCGTCCCCGCTGTAAATATTGCAATAACTTCGGGCATGTAATAGAAGAGTGCAAGAACCTCGGAAAAAAGCAGGTCGAGAACAAGAGAACAAGAGAACCGCGCTACCCAAGAAGAACTACGCCGAAGCCGATACCGACACAATGCCAGGGAGTAGTTAACGTGCCCTACCTGTAATAACTTGTTTCGAATGTGGCAACCTCGAATACCTGCGCAAGGACTGTCCAAACTGCGGTAAGAAGGAACAGATCGGTAAAAGCGAAGCTAAGTCCGAATTTTGCTTTATGGACGCCTCCGAAGTACACGCGAAATACAAGAATCAACCGATTCTCAACGTGGAAATATTAGGAGCCAACGACACGGGACTTACCGATACTGCTGCGGAGTTAAATGTTGCAGGATCCATTCTATATAAAATCCTCGTTGAGAGAGGAGTGAAGTTCAATGAAACAAAGTTATGCATCGGACTAGCGGATGGAACGCATAGCGACGAGAGGGTACTATTGACTGAGGTGGACGTCCGAGTAGCCGATCAGAACTACTTTCGTCGTAATGCCGCACGCAAGGGGAAACTTCACTTTATTCGGTATGAATTTCATCGAAAACGCGAACATAGTATTGAATATCCCCCAACGAATATGATATTTTGCAGATGACTACGAGTCACACGAATTAAAATTCGAATGCTCTGCCGAGACACCCATCACGTTACAAATAAGTTACGCTAACACGCTACGAGACGACGAAGCTTATCTCAAGGCCAGCGCGCAAAACAAGATGAACTCCTGGTTGCCAAGGATATCTTTGCTCTTGAGGAGGAGAGCCAACTCCGTATGTCGAACACGTCATCGACACGGGCGATAATCCACCAGTAGCTTCACCATCATATAGGGTGTCTCAATCCGAAAAGGAAATTTTGGAGAAGGAAATAAGCTCGATGTTAAAGTCGGACATTATAGAAGAATGCGAATCTCCTTGGGCCGCTCCTGTTGTACTCAGGCCGAAGCAAGATGACACCATACGGATCTGCATCGACTACCGTCGTTTAAATGCCATTACTAAAACAGACTCGTACCCGATGCCGAGGATCGATGAGTTGCTGCACCTCACGAAGAAGACTCTTTACATATCAACCATCGATCTGCGGTCTGGATATTGGCAGGTGAGTGTGAAACCAAAAGACCGAGATAAGACTTCGTTTACTACACCTTTCGGTACATTTCGGTTCAAACGCATGCCCTTTGATCTGAAAAATGCCGGTGCCACATTCCAACAGTTTATGAACCGTCTCCGGAGAGGTTTAAAGGACACCGCGGTGATTGTATACCTGGATGATATCATCATTGTCTCAACTTCGAGAGACACTTACAGGATTTACAGAAAGTATTCGACCATCTGCGCGAATTTAAATTACGAGCCAAACGAGAGAAGTGTACTTTTGCCTGCTCGCAGATGAAGCCATGTTATTGGCAAAGAGGGTATTCGACCGAATGGAGATAAGGTCGTGGCTATCCTTAATTTACCCCCTATAAGGAACGTGAAACATCTGCTTACATTTTTGCAAACCGCTTCCTGGTTTCTCAGATTTATTTCTGATTTTGCGGCAACAGCTAAGCCGTTGTCGCAATTAACTAAGAAGAATGCCGTTTGGTCATGGGCGAAAGAACAGGAAAATGATTTTGCTAGATTGAAGAAGCAGCTCTCTGAACCCCCGATACTTCGACAAGCGGACGAGACGTTGCTGTTTATTATTCGTATGGATGCCAGCAACTACGCTATTGGAGCAGTCCTTCTGCAGGGACAAGGCGCCAACAAAAGACCCGTGGAGTATACGAGTTGTCTTTTGACGTCGGTGAAGTGCAACTATACTATTACGGAACGCGAGACTCTCGCAGTTGTATGGGCAGTCGACAAGTTTAGAGGTTACATTGACGGAGCCAAGATGGTAATTGGCACCGACCACCAACCCTTGAGATGGTTGATGAGCTTGAAATCGCCGTCTGGACGTCTCGCTCGGTGGGCGCTGCGTCTCCAAGAATACAACTTCGAGGTAACATATACTCCCGGGAAATTGAACGCTGTTGCATTCTTTCGAGACCCCCGTGCTCGGAGGAACCGAGAAGACTTGCAGCGTATACACGGTCTCAATCGATCTACCTACAGACAGAGCCGCTAAATTAAGGAAAGAACAACTCTCAGATCCGGAATCAAGAAAATCATCGACGCGTTCGAATCAAAGGACGACCTGGGCACCTCAAACTGAACTTCTCATGGGTATCTAATGTTGGATGGCGTTTTGTACCGATACGCTCCTGGCAAGGACGCTGAAGAGGCTCAATGGGTCGTGCCGCGTTGCGCCGTTGAGCGCATACGATACGAGAACCACTTGAAACCTTCTGGATTGTTAAGGACCCCAGCCGTCTCCAGGAGATTTGAAATATTGGCTATGAATCTATTCGGGCCGCTACCAACCACCGCCGAGGGATTTCAATGGATATTCTTCGTCGAGGATATCGCGTCGAAGTGGATGGAATCATTCCTGTTGAAACGAGCCACTGCGAAAGCATGTGCTCGAACTTTAACCGAGTTAGTTATTTTGAGATACGGAACCCCTAGCAAGATAATTTCCAATAATGGACCTCAGTTTGTTGGTGCGGTCATGCAGCAGGTATCATACTGCCTCGGGTTCAGCCAGTCTCTCACTCCCGTTTACCATCCAGAAGCCAACCCAGTTGAGAGGAAAAATCGAGACATGAAAACGCAACTTTCCATCCTAGTTAAGAACGAATATACGAGTTGAGCCGAGAAATTACCCCCTATCAGGTATGCCATGAACAATAGCGTCTCGCAATCCACGGGAAACACTGCCGCCTATCTCACTTTCGCTTGGGAGATGCGAAGCCCGGGAGATGTACAGCGAGATCTACGTGAAATCGTCAAGGAGAGAACTTCGTTTCCGAAGTCACTCCTTACCTCTTGAGGATCGTCGAGACAATGAAGGAAGTCGCCGAAACTCAGGAGCGGGAGCAGGATAGGCGCAAGGCGTACGCGGACGATTCCAGAAGACCGGCCGTCTCTTTCCAGCAGGGAGATCAGGTGATCAGGTCAAAACTCGAATGCTGAGCAAGGCAGCTCAGCGTATCTCATAGAAGTTCGCTACAAAAAAGGATGGTCTATATCGAATCGCTAAGCGGGTTTCGCCCGTTAGTTACTAGATCGCTGATAATTCTCGCTATCGGAGACCTACTTTCGATTCGCCACGTTTCCGACCTTGATATCTAGAAGAGAGGAGGCATCAAGAAAGTTCCTGACGACCCAGTTTATTCACTCAAGAAGAAGGGGCGCCCTAGGAAGGACAAACTCCTTCGCACTCTGAGGATGTTGAGTCTTCGTCGAGGGCTCCTGCCAGACCCAAAGGAGGAGTCTGTAACACGAAGGGCCCCGTGACGCACTCTAGGGCTGCCGCGGGGGCGCCACCTCAGGTGCCCCGATGCGCGCGCCGCAGAGAGTAGAAGAAGAAGGAGAGTCGCTCGCTAGCCAACGCCACAAACGTTTCTGTCACGAGAACAGGAGAGTTTTCTTTTGTATTATTATCCGAAAATATATGTCGATAGTTAGTCTCACAATCGTCAGGAATGCCTAATTCTCGCCCTCATATCCTCCTTCCGTTGGGAATTGCGCGTCGTGAAAACCCGTGGGAACCCGCGTAAAAATCTTCACATAGCGGAGGAACATAATCTCACTATAAAATATCTAAAACAATGTTAGACAACTAAAAAAATGTTTCAGACAAAAATTGTTCAAATTATTTGGTAGAAAAAGACGGTGTCATAAAAAATTGGAGATTCCATTTAAGATCTTGACTGAATAGGGTTGATGTTGATCTTGACTGGGCTTTTCAAGATCATCCCCAGGTCAAATTCATAGCATCAGTAAATAGATCCTTTAAAGCCCTACAACTTTAGTCTGAAACATTTTTCTCTAAAATATCGCGTTTACGAAAAAATCGGATGACCCGGGTAGTCTGAAACACTTCGTATAATATTATAGTTGCTAGAGTTTCAGATGTGATGATTATAGATAGTTTCAGTCTTATGTATCACGATAATTTATATTATTCCGCATAGTTCGTACATTTGTGCATGCATATCGTGAAATCCGTTTACTAATTTTTCGAGTAACGTTTTCCGATTCACGCTTATTTCCTCTGCTAGTGCCAGACTTCAGTTTTAGGATCTTCTCGCAGTGAACGCCCCATACAGAAGATTTCCTATTCTATATCGTCTTCGTTGGGGATTGGAATTTTGTTGATTTTCTTTGCAGTTATACCGAATTCGATATATCTTTTCGAGGTTAAAAAAGTTATTGTCGTAAGATGTTAGTGAATAGTTCCTCCTTTGGGAGACATTACTTATACTTGCTACGTTGGATTACAAACGGAAATACTCGTTAAATGGCTCTACTTCTGTGGTTTCAAACTCGCCGTTTTCAGTCGCGAGTGATAAAGTCTCGTCTATTTTCCTAAAAGTGAATTCGCATTCGGTTACGTGAAAGAGAATACTTACCTCAGATAAAATTTTGATAGAATAATAAGTGTCTAACATTCGTCGCGCATAATCACTTGTGTCTCTATTCACATCTTCAATTATACAATTATAATCTCGGATAGTTTAGTCGACGAACTACTAGGTGCGCAACTAAGTTTCCGGGTTTCACACATGGATGACGCTAACGACACATGTAGTCGACATACATGTCTGAAGTTGTGTTTTTTTATAGCTTGGACATCTGTTAACAATAACCAGTCGTAATACCAACACATGTCGCAATGCAAAAATATTTTTTCTAACAATGAAGATGTCGAGTTTTGTGCCAAATAAACAGCATTTGCGGGAAGCAAATTGAAAAAAAGTGCAGCTGAAGCACGTCGTTTGCTTGAGGAGGCCTACGGCGAACATGCACCATCGAAAACTACCTATGAAGATTGGTTTAAATGCTTCAGAAGTGGCGATTTCGACACTGAGGACAAGGAGCGCTCCGGAAGACCAAAAACAATTGAGGACGCCAATCTGCAAGCGTTATTGGATGAAGATGATACGCAAACACAAGATCAACTTGCGGAGGCATTAAACATGACTCGCCAAGGTATTTCCAAACGTTTACATGCCATGGGAAAAATTCAAAAGGAAGGAAAATGGGTGTCGCATGAGTTGACTGAGAGACAGATGGAAAATCGAAGTGTCACTCCCGAAATTTGGTTTTTGCGGCATGAAAGAAAGAAAGAAAATTTCCTACATCGAATTGTTACTGGCGATGAGAAGTGGATATGTTTCGAGAATCCCAAACTCAAAAAATCGTGGCTTTCACCTGGCGAAGCATCAACATCGACGGCACGGCCAAATCGCTTCGGAAAGAAGACAATGCTTTGCGTTTGGTGGGACCAGAAAGGAGTCGTGTACTATGAGCTGCTGAAACCGGGCGAAACTGTCAATGGGCATCGCTACCGACAACTAATCAATTTGAACCATGCATTACTCGAAAAACGGCCAGAATGGGACACGAGACACGAACGAGTGATATTGCGTAAGTACGACAACGCTCCGTGCCGTCGCACTTCCATCGTCCAGGACACTATCAAAACGCTGAAATGGGATCTGCTACCGCACCCGCCGTATTCGCCAGACCTGGCCCCTTCCGATTATCACTTGTTCCGGTTGATGGCGCATGGCTTGGCTGGGCAACACTTGGCCAATTTCGAAGAAGTGCAAAATTGGTTGGATGAATGGTTTCGGTCCAAAGACGCATCGTTTTATTGTCGCGGTATTCATGTATTACCAGAGAGATGGCAAAAATGTGTAGATAGCGAGGGACGATACTTTGAATAAATCATTTTTTGTATTTCTTTTCAAATTTTCCATTTTTCATTGATCAAAAAAACTTAGTTGCGCACCTAATACCTTGTCATACGCGCTCCTGGCTCGTTATATAATCGACCTATTCCGACCTATTTCTCAGTCAGTTCGCAGAATACATTCTGTCTTTTAAGCGCAATATCTGTCGGTCTACAGCATCGATCGACTTACATTACGATAGCTAACTGTATATTACTTTGGTTGCTATGTCTACCTCTGCAAAGTTGTCTATTGTTGGGCTGCTCAATGCAATGTTAGAGTAAGTTGGCATGATCGCTGCGAGTTGATCTACTGTCTCTTCCGCATCCATCGCTGATACCGGAATGGCAGCTTACTGGCCGTCGTTTTCCCGTTTGCCGTTCGCTGCTTGCTGATGTTACGTCTTTTTCCGACTTTGTTATCTTCCTCAGCTTACTGACAATGAATGTTCTGGGTGACTATCGCTTACTTATTTCGGATGCGCTGTTTATTCTTCGCTCTTCTTCATCAATTTGTTGCTTTTGGTGTGAATTTTTCATAAATTTTTTTCTCTTTTGTTGCAGTTGAATCTCACCGCTGCTACTAAATTGTTTTGAGACGTCCACAGAAGAAAGGTGATATAAGAAGAACGAAAAAGTAGTTTGAAGTAACTTATAGTTTATTAAAATAGTAGAAACACACAAGTGCCAATTTTTCTGACGTCACGTGTGCGTAGTTAATAAGCCTAATCTAGAAAATCCCGTACACCTCCTCTTTTATATCGTCTTAATTTTCTCATTAATTTTCTCAGAGAGGATGACTTAGCGTCAATTGTTTGTCGCTTAAACGTCGCGTGAACTCCATGTCGACGTCGCGCAATATGCAATACAGTGCTTTTTTGCATCATTTACACTTCCGACGGCTAAACGCTCGGTTTTATCTGCGATATCTTCACAAAGATTATTATATTCTATTATTTTCGACATATATTTTATTAATTATATTATATTATATTATATTATACTTTTATTCGATTATATTTTATTATATTATATTACAACAATTTACTTAAAACAATTACTTTTTCCAGTTTCTGTATTGAAAGAAACAGTATTAAAATTACAAAAATAATTGTAACATTTAATTCAATACATTTGTTGCAAATATATATTTCTATCCAATTTGTATTAAAATTCAGTATTATGTTGCAAAAAAATTTCTGCATTTATATAAACACACACGCGAATGTGGAAGAAATTAAAATGATTTGGTATTTCCAGAGGAGAAAATCAGTTTTACATGTGAAATGCTTTGTAATTTTACAGTGAAATATATGTACATATATATTATGCGGATTATAATGAATTTCAAAGAAAATAACAGCGGGATTTCGTGTGAACACGGTACACATGTTATATGAAGTACACCAGTGTGTTTCTGCCGCGATTAGACAAGTAATAGTTTCAAAGCTGTAACGTCAGGGATATTAAGTTGAGCGACGCAGCTCCTGCGATTTTCAAATGTCGCCACTCGGTTCTGAAGGAAGCATGACTACTCTCTCATTAAAGGGGAATACTTTAAAACTAATTTCTTTAAGGTCGGCCATTTGTTCGCCGGATTTTACTCTGAATTCCTCGTTGCTTGACACCCACTTCGAAGATTATTGACGCTTGATGTTGAAAAAAACAAGAAGACATGGAGGAAAGAGACGAAAAAAGGAGAAAGAAAAAGAAAGAAGAGACAGAAAGCTGGGATGAGAAACTCAAGCAGGCGATACAAACCTTGTTGGGCGTTCGTGACCGTGAATAAAATGAATCGCCGGTTCGAGTTCGCCTGCGAATCGGCAAGGTCGAGAATATCACGTTCTACAGTGGTGGTGTTTTCTTTCGAATTAACCGCTTTGCTTCTCGTCTCTCCTCTTTCACGCCAC